TGGGGGGGGGGAACATCTGTAGCTGATCACGGACATGGGAAGTTGTCTTGGGTCAGTTTTTTGGCACCGAGGGGCCTCGGGAGTGGGGTCTTTCCATGTTTCTGGGCCTGGCAGAAAGTGGCAACACTCTAACAACTGTAATCTTTCCTGAAATGGAGCCACAGGCTTGTAAATAACAGTACAACCTCATCCATAGCAGCCCGCTCAAAGCCTGAGAAACTGATCCTAGCAACAGCAAGCTTTCCTTCTTCCACGCCCACCTCCTCTGCCAATAACCTCACTGAACCAATAGAAGAAACCATATTCAGCCAACATAAAACCTCCTGGTTCAAACTCTAAACCCTCTTTACGACAAACAGAAACCCATATCCACATTCCACACGGTGATTCCACCACCACAAAGAAAACTGAAGAACGATCCAGCATACCTGAATTAATAATAAAATAAATTATACCAGCTTCACCTTTTCAAAATATTAAACCATAAAACCAAGACAAAACAAATCAAAATGTAACCAACAGTTAAAGACAACCTCAAAATGTCTAGGAAACAACAGGCAACCTCAAATAAAAAATAAATAAATAAAAACAGGACAAGGCATTAGAAGCAAAAACACAAACAAAGGTCTCATTATACATGGAGGAAGAGGAGGCAATAGAATTATCCGAGAAGAAATTTAGAAGATATGTTTATAGAGCTATACAAGAGACTAAGGAAACCCCAAACGGAACAAGGAGAAAACAGACAGTTCCCTGGAGGAACTCAGGAAAATCATTGAGGAACAGAATAATAAGATTAATGCACAGTCAGAACTCATACAAAAACAGCAGTTAGAAATGCAGAATATGAGTACTGAAATGCAGAGCATGAGTACCCAAATAACAGAACTACACAACACAGTAGAAGCACAAAAGAGTAGGTTAGAACTGGCTGAAGAATGCATATCCCAACTAGAAGACAAATCCCTGGACAATTGCCTGTATGAAGAAAAATCAGAATAAAGATTTAAGAGAAATGAAGAGAACCTAAGAATTATATGCAATGACATGAGACAAAACAATATAAGACTTATTGGAATCCCAGAACAAGAAGAGACAAAAAAGACCACCGAGAAAACTGTGGAAGACCTGCTAACAGAAAACTTCCCTCATATCATGAAGGAAGAAAAGATATTTGTCAAAGAAGCTCATAGAACTCCACACAAGATAGATGCCAAGACCGGCAAGACGGTGGACTAGGCAGAAAGACTGCACAGACAGACCCTCTTCAACAAAGAAAAGGGAAACCAATTAACACAGATACAGAAGATAATCCTGGACCACTGAGCCTCGAAGGGAAGGATATAGAAGTGGACTAAACCCCAACTAGCAGAAGAGTTTGCATGAAAATACCAAAAAAAGAGACATACAGAGCTATGGTCTGGCAGTGATCCTGAGTGATCCTGACAGCACAGACAGCTTGGCAATTCATGAGTGGTGGTAGGACCTAAGAATTAACCAAAATATCAGCCCTGCTAGCCAGGGACTGCACGGAGGACTGTGCACGGTGGCTAGGGAATAAACAGAGAAGGTGAAGAGAAAGGCGGGCTGAGCTGCATACTTTTGCCGGTCTGGAGAACGCCGCCATTTTGAAGGATTAAAAGCAGCTTGACTATTTTGGATATTTAAAGAGACAGAGCTCTAGCAGATTCCTGGGGCTTGAGAACACGTTCTGCTTTCCATAAATCCCAAGGACACACTGGACTCACAAGACTGAAAAGGTACGACATTCCTCTTGTTACTCTTATACCCCACACCCGCATGGAGAATGGAGGTGTGGCCAGCCCCCACTCTCAGCTACCTTCTGGGCCCACAGGAACTCTATCACAGTCTGTGTACTCAGACGGAGCCTCGGTACCCTGCCCTGTCTTCCACCAATTCTTTTTTTTTTTTCTCTCTTATTTTTTATTAATTTTTTTCTTTCTTTTTTCTGGTGATTAGTCTGCTAGTATTTGTCTGTTTTAAAGCAACTATTACTATTAATACTTTTGTCCTTTTTATTACTATTTTTTATCTTCCCCTACCAGGTCCTAGTTTTCAGCATTTTTTCTTTTCCTTGTTCCTGGCTGAAAATTTTTTTCCCCCTTTTATCTCCTGGTTAACCCTGTTCCTTGTTT